AGGGCAAATGATAAAATGGGCGATAAATATGAATACCGAAGTGTCTATTGAAACCTGGGAATATTTGTGGAAAAATTCTATTAAGATATCGCCTTGTACCAATGTTAGAGAGAATTGTTATAAAATGATGTATAGGTGGTACATGACTCCGAAAAAAATTGCAAATATGAACCAGAATATGTCAAATAAGTGTTGGAAATGTAAAAGCCATGAAGGCTCATTTTACCACATGTGGTGGACTTGTGAGAAAGCAGTTGACTTTTGGACAAAAGTCCACAAAGAAATGCAAAAAATTCTGAAATGCTCTTTTAAAAAGGCACCGGAAATTCTGCTTTTAGGATTGAAAATGGAGGAAGTCAATACAACTAAAAAGACCTTACTCTGGTACTTAATCACAACAGCGAGAATGATTTATGCACAACTTTGGAAAACAGAGAAAGTGCCAGAAATTGAAGACTGGATACAAAAAGTTCTGTTCATGGCAGAGATGGACAAAATTACGAAGAAGTTGAATAACAAAGAAGATGACGTGTTTTTTCAAGAATGGAGTGATTTTAAAATATATCTGGAAAAGAACTGGGATGTGAAACAAAACTTAATATGTTTAGATCAATATTAAGTCAAATGATGTTATCTTTAGATTGTAATAATAAGAAACTGATATTTTTGATGATATGAAGTAATCTGGAGCAGGGGTGGAAGCATTGTGGGAAGCCATTGGAGGGAGGGGAGGAACTGGGGATGGGGTAGACAATTGATAGAATGAAATGATTTTAATCTTACATGTTGTATTCCTGAGAAAATAAAAATTTGTTTACCAAAAAAAAAAAAATAGAAAGACAACAGATGGGGGAATAGTGATGCCAAACTTTCCATATTATTATGCTGCACCACAGTTGTCCCAAATATTAAAATGGGGGAAGACCAAATTACAACTATTCTTTAGGTCGCAGAGATCAGTTCCTCTGGAGAAAATGGTGGACTCAGTGTCATTATACCCTACTGAGGTCGCCACAGAAAATTGACACATGAGTGTCCAAGGCTTGGGCACCCGCCCAGAGCCTCTTTCTAGAGGCCGTTATATTTATTTCCACAATGGGCCTTTTTCCTAGTAAATAATAAATAATAAAATAATATACACAAAAAAACAAAAAATCCAAAGTTTGAGTCCAGTGGCACCTTTAAAACCAACAAAGTTTAATTCTGGGTATAAGATTTTGTGGGCATGCACACTTCTTCAGATACTTCTTCAGAAGTGTCCATGCACATGAAAGTTTATACCCAGAATTAAACTTTATTGGTATTACAGGTGCCACTCGACTCATACTTTGTGGTATTGTAAAGAGTTAGCATTGTGGTAAGAAGAGTCAGCATTGACATAAGATGTGTTAGAATTTATTGATATTTTTGAGGGCATTGGGTTGAGAGGAACCAGTAGAGAAATTCTGTTTTGGGGAAATGTATCCTCTTGGGTTGAGAGGAACAGTGGAGCACATAACTTTAGAATATGAGAATTTTGTTGGGGGTTTTTGTTTGTTTGTTTTTTGAAAGTTTATCCTCTTGGACTGAGGAATCTGTAATAAGAAGGAATTAACCTTGTCTTAAAATCTTCATTATTGCATAGCTGAAACAAAAGTAGTTAAATAATATTCTGATCGTGTCTGGCTATTTTAAATGGAATATTGTTTCTTTTATGATAAGGATAAAAGGACCCTTGAAATTCAAAATTACCCTGGGAGCTGACAGGTTAACAGATCTTGTACACCAGTAGGAAAGTTAAAAAGGGAACAACACTTTGTGCTGGCTAAAGATGAACGCAGCTGTTTCAGCTTCTGCTCAGTGCTCCCCTAAGTTCCCCATGCTTCCGTTCTACTGATTTTCAATAGAGGAAAGTAATGCTTCCTCTAAGCTGTGGAGTCTTGTGAGCAAAAATTCTACTTTGTGAGCTACTGGCATTAAAGTTGTGAGCGAGCAATGTGGCTACTGCCTAAATTAGCTTGCTCTGGAGCCATCCTTCCTGAGCTAAGACAAAAATGTGTGAGCCAGAGGCTAAAAAACTGTGAGCTAGCTCACACTAGCTCAGCTTAGAGGGAACACTGGAGGAAACACAGCCACGCATTCTAGGGTATCTGACCCATGTTAGTCTGTTTCAGCAAGAATAACACCAGAACGATACGATTTTTAGAACAAAGTTTTAGAACAGTGACACCTTTAAGACCAACAAGGTCTTTAGGTTGCCACTGGACTCAAACTTTTTTCTACTACTTCAGACCAACACGGCTACCTGATACAATGTTCAGTCAATCATCGTGAGGTTCTCCTATTCGTGATAGAGACAGGTCAGGATTACCTCCAAAATGAAACAGGACCCTAACAATGCTCCCTCTAAACTGTGGACTCTTGTGAGCAAAAATTCTACTTTGTGAGCTAGTGGCATTAAAGTTGCGCACGAGCGATTTGGCTACTGCATAAATTAAGTTTGCTCTGGAGCCATCCTTCCTGAGCTAAGAGAAAAATCTGTGAGCCGGAGACTAAAAAAACTGTGAGTCAGCTCACACTCTCAGCTTAGAGGGAACACCGGAGCCCAAGTAGCCACTGCTGCACCCCAGATTTTATTATTTTACTACGGCACACTAACACATCTCCAGCCGGAGTCTGACTCTCTCTCACTCAAGTACTGCCTATGTAACCCCCTCTGTCCCTACGGTGGCGCTGCACTCGCATACGTTACTAACTGCGCATGTATAGGCAGTTTTGCAATTCCTCCCCCCCGCCCCCCCGTTCGAATTCCCGCCCCTTCCTTTTCCACCACAGACAGAAAATACAAGGGAGGGACGCTCGCTTTTGGGGTTGGTTACTGTACAAGCGGCAGTTCTCGCGCGATCTTGAAGATGGCGGCGTTCTGTGAGGAGTTCACGTTGTGTACTCTGGCCGGTACTGGAGGGTCTGCTCTCCCTCAGGGACTGTTGGGGTTGGAGCCGGACCGGGACCGCGTGCTGCTCACTGACCGAAGCAGGACTGTTACGCTGTATGAGGTAAAGAGGCACTCCTTGCTCCGCTTCCCCCTCGCGAGCCTCTGTGCCTCTACCGCACGAGGTCTGCTTCTGCGGCGTGTGTTGCTTGCCTACAGACTCTCATAACTCGGGTGGGGGGAAAGGGGGTTTGTTCTCTGAGGGGGATTTAGGTATCCTTTTTGCAGGGATTGTTGTATGTAGATCAGGGTCTGTTTTAGTCATTAAAGGTAAAGGTTCCCTTGCTCGAAAGCCAGTTGAATCTGACTCTAGGGTTGCGGTGCTCATCTCCGTTTCAAAGCCGAAGAGCCAGCGCTGTCCGAAGACGTTTCCGTGGTCATGTGGCCGGCATGGCTAAACACCAAGGCGCACGGAATGCTGTTACCTTCCCACCGAAGTGGTACCTATTTATCTACTTGCAATTTCTTGCTTTCGAACTGCTAGGTTGGCAGGAGCTGGAACTAGAGACGGGAGCTCACTCCGTCATGCGGCACACTTGGGTCTCGAACTGCTGAACTACCGACCTTCCACAGCCTGCAGTTCACCGCAGCTCCGTTTTAGTCATTACAATTACATTAATAGTCCTTTGCATTTTTAAAGTCCCCTTTTACTCTACTTGTCCTTCATCCTGCCTACACCATAATCAAGTAAAGCCTACCTGACCTACTTGTTGTGAGGGTAAAATGGAAGAGGGGAGAACCATGTTGCTATTTTGAGTTCCTCAGCAGAAGGCGGCATATAAACTTTATTATGGCCCTGGTCACACTACAAAGTTGCTGCAGGAGAGGCACAGATGGTGGGTGGATTATCCAGGTGCAATCACACCCCAACATCTGGGAAGTGGAGCGCACCCGTGGCTTACCGCCGACAATGCGCCTTAAAAAACTAGTACCTCCAAGGTACTAGTAAACGTTTGCCATGGGCTGCCTCCAGACGCCTGTGGTGTGATCGCGTCGGCACGGGGCATTCCCCTCGGTTACCCGCCGGCGCCGAGGGAAGGACCCATGGTGTGCCGGCGGCATGTCTGATCACGTAATCGCGCATCAAACTGCACCAAGGCAATTAGCCACACCTCCCCCCCCCCCCCCCCGCCGCA